TATTATATATCATTTATATATATATATTATAAAAAACTGTAGTCAGTGTCTGGTGTCTTGGATGCTGCCAACAAGGTATTTATAGGTCATATAAAACACAGACATAAACGGCTTCTAGATTAAGATCAGAAATATTGGAATTGGTTAATAACTTACTTGTTCACATGCCAGAAAGATCACAATGTTGCCCCTCTCTTTTGTATGGTGTATCTCAAAGAGCAGCCTTAGTGCAGACAGAAAATGGTCTTTGGGGATGCTGCAAGCGTATACCACCTCTGCGTGGTGTTTGTTTTCCACTCTGATGGAGGGGATGCTGCCATAATAATTCTGCAGTTTGCTGGAGGTGTGGGGCGCAGTGAGTATCACCAGCCTCAGCTCGGGTCTCGATACCAAGACAGATTTAAGAAGGGCAAGTAATGCATCTGTTGCAATGGTCCTTTCGTGCACGTCATCCAAGATGATAACGCCATAGTAATTCAGAAGAGGTGTGGACATCATTTCCCTTTGTAGCATATCGTCGGTACAGTATCTGCAACACAAACAAGACAACTCTACAGAGTTTCTTGAAATATTCAGATTTGATTGTAAGGAGTTAATTCAGGGTCTTGGGCACAGGTTGGTTCTTTCAGTTCTGACCAAGATTTGATAAGAACAGAGTGTTTATTTTGTAGACAGTGTCAGAGTATCAACTACATGTTTAAATCCTCCTTGAAGTAGCTAGAAGCTCAGTGTAATTCAATGACACTAAGTGTCACTGTGGTTGAAAGGATGCTCTAGGCAAAAGAAGAAATACTTCTGCCCTAAAATCACAGCTTATATTGCCTTTCATTTTGCAAGCATGTTGCATGTCATAACCAGTTCCTGAGCTAGGAACTAATATACTTTCAAATGAGGAAACGATGATGTACATGCACACTGGAGGCAGTACCAGAAACAAAAAGAGATATTAAGTCATAGCGTGAGGCCCTCCTTGCTTTTATCCCTACTATTCCTGCTACTGAATGTTTTTTTTTTAATAATGTTATTTTTTATTGTGTTACTCAACTGTATTTTTTGCTGTGTTACTCAAATGCGTTAGATGATGGAAGGAGTGGAGCATCTCCTGTTGAGGAGCGACTGAGGGAGCTGGGGCTCTTGAGCTTGGAGCAGAGGAGACTGAGGGGTGCCCTCATTCCTGGGGATCCATTTGGAAAGGGCAGTGTCAGGAGGAAGGAGCCAGGCTCTGCTCTGGGATGTCCAATGGCAGGACAAGGGGCAATGGTCCCAAGCTGGAGCACAGGAGGTTCAAGCTGAAGATGAGGCCAAAGTTTGTGAGTGTGAGGGTTCTGGAGCATGGCCCAGGCTGCCCAGAGAGGTTGTGGAGTCTCCTTGTGTGGAGACACCCAAAGCCCTGGCCGTGTTCCTGTGTGACTGCTCTGGTGATCCTGCTGTGGCAGGGGTTGCACTGGGGGAGCTTTCCAGGTCCCTTCCAACTCCTCATATTCTGAGATTCTGTGATACTCAGCAGGACTTTGAATTCTTGAACCAGGTTTTGGTTTGTGAGAAGGCAGGGTTCATCTCCCTTTCACAGTGTGCTGCAGGAAGAGGTTTACAAAGGACACGCAAAAGAAAGAGTGGTTGAACTTGATTTTCAGAAGTGGTGAGTGTCCTGTTCTTCACTGGAAATCAGTGACTGGGCTTATGATCTGATTTTATAGTTTGTGCTTGCCATACCAAGGAACCAGAGCAAATAACTCCTCTAACTTTCAGAGAGGCTCAGAATCTGAATCCTTCTGTGGCTGCTGTCACCTGCCAATATTTAATAGAGTAAATGCATTTCTTATCTCTTAAAATTCCTCCTAAGTGCTTTTTTCTCTTGTTACTGAGTTTACACTTTTCTAGCCATGAGTTTTGATTGCTTTTAAATTCCAGCTTTACTTTGTGATACATTATCCAATGTTCTTTTATGGTAATGAACACTCCTGTACTGGAAAACAGAGAAAGAAAGAGTAGAATGATATGGAGGTTACTGAGGTGCTTCATGAAGGTTTACAGTTACCTTACCCATTAAATCTCTACTGCAGTTATGCATGGAATACCTCCTTTAAGCCTTTTACAGCTTAATTGATCACAAAATCTCCAGTATCTGCATTTTACAATATTGTATGCAGCTTTATAAAGTAGTGTTGGTTTTTTTTGTCATCACAGTTTACGAAAAGTCTTTTGCAGCTTTAGCAGTGTTCCCTCACAGGGGTTTGGTTATCTGTCCTGACCATGGTAGTGGAGTGGTGTGATGAAGACCTGAGGACTGGAGTGCTGTCAGCTGCAAACTTTCGCATTTGCAAACTGTAACCTACACGTTCTTGCATTATTACTTACTGAAGGCATTAAAATCCAAACACACAAACCTCAGGATAGTTTCTGTTGTACAGCAGTTTTCAAAAGGGACAAAATACCCCACTTCGTGGCCGACGTTGACGTCCATCTCATCAGCTACGCGCAGTGCCAGCCACACCGCAGTCTGCTTGTGCACCTGGGAGCACACAACCACACCGTGCTGGTAGCGAGCAGAAAGGCAATACTCAGCGCACCACTGAGGAACCTGTGAGTAAATAAGGGAACAGATTTATTTGGTATTTAACACGTTTAGCAGAGACTGTAATGCAAAAGAAAGTAGAGAGCGTCTGCTGGTTGATCCAACAACGTTAGTGCAGTTGTCAGGGGCTTCTCAGCTGGCTCAGTGATAAACCTGGCCATGTTACATCATATTCAGGTGCTTGACATGAGAAGTGTCCCAGGAAGAAGAGGTTTTCAAGCTGACACAGTAAATATATATAATTTCAGATTAATTACTTGGTAAACAAAGATAGCTGAAACTGAACTGCTCCTGACACTTATGCACTAGCTCTCTAATTTATATATTTGCCATAGAAAATCAACACTAGAAAGTATTAATGTGATTGTCATCAGAAAGCAAAACTACATTATAAATAATATTTTAATGAAAGTATTACGTTTCAAATGCTTTAGTTAATCAACATGTATAAACTAGGTGCATCAGCCACATAATCTATTCCTGCATAGTTATTTATGTTACTTGAAATGTTTAAAAACCAGCCAGCCATGTGTTACATCTCATTAAAGTTGTTTAAGGATAATTTAAAAAGCTAACGTTTCTTAGCAAGTGGTTTATTATTATACAAAGTTTGTTTCATATCAATTGCAGTCTATAACAAGGGACAAAGACTTTCCACTCCAAAGAATATTCCAGCACCAGGTGAGTGTGTATCCTCTTTGTAGGAATATAGGAATTTTTGCTGAGATGTACAATGGCTCCAGTTCAAGATGAGATCTCGAGCAACATCCAGCATCAAAGGCTCTGACAGATATGAGACTGTAACAGAAATTTCCTTCAGCTTTACCTGCAGGAAAGTTTTCTCTTGATCCCAGTCATAAACAATAATATTTTGGCTTAACATTTGTTTTAAAATTCTCCTCTGCTTACTGTGGTAAGAGACTTAGCTTGTTATATTTTATTACAAGAGAAGTTGATAGCCCTGGTGTGGATATTTGTGTGTTTAGAGTCAACTGAGATCTTGGCTTCAGTGGTGTTTTTTAACGTGAATTCTGTGAAGTAATTGTGTATTCTTGGAAAAAGCATTTGCTCTTGGCTGAGGTGAGGGAAAGACCATTACTTCTCCCTGAGAAACAGCCCTACCAATTTCAATCCTTCATTCCCTTCATTCAATCTTTCATTTTTCACCTTCTCTTACGCCCTGCCTGCAAATCCACTGTATTTCTTTCCTGATAGAGCACTAATCAGAACCAAAACACACTTTCCAAGTAAGAATGTGCATTGAATCCAACACAGGCAGTGCAGATTTTACCATTTCCACTGAGCATTCAATGTGATGATGGACAAAATGAGGACAAAATGACAAATCGAGTCATTATTAAGGAAGCAGCAATAAAAATCTCCAAATGGACGAAATAGTGGCCAGCCAAATGGAGAAGGAATGATTTATTGATAAAATACTAAAGCAACCTGAAGTAAGTCTTAAAGTATTTTACACTTAGCCTCAGCCTCTCTGAAGGCAGTGGAAATACACCTGTAATTTCTGTAGGGAAGGGTTTTAGCGGGTACATTCTGTAATATGCTTGAAAGTATATATTTGATGGGTTTTCAAGTTGAGATGTGATATAGAAACAAGACGAAAAATTACAGTGCATATAGTGGTTGATAGAATAATACTTTATACAGAATTTTTCTAAGGTTATTTGTGTATGTCGTTCTGACTTTTAAAGTACAGTAGTTGAATGCATTAATACACCTCCCAAATTTCACTTTCCCTCTTTCACTGCAGTAGATGTTGCACATCTGGAAACTGAGAACTGCTCAACTCAGTGCAAAAATGTGTGCGGACACCGCAGCTGAACTCTTCAGAATTGGATGTTATTGTACTGCAATACCATACAGTACTCATCAACACAGCAACAGCTCACTACTAACAGACACCAGACATTATTATAATATAAATCTGGCTATTGATGTGCCTTATATATATATAAATCACACAGAATCACAGAATATTAGGAATTGGAAGGGACCTTGAAAGATCATCCAGTCCACATCCAGTACCACAGCAGGGTCACCTAGACTGGATCACATAGGAAATATATATATAGATAAATATAGATACAAATATATATATACAATTAATTGCAAAAATATTTTTCTGTTTCAAAACAATATAATATTAGTAAAATAGCTATAGTAACTCTGACAAGTGCACAGTATTAAGTGTTATAAAAATACATTTAAAACCCCCATCCCAGTATGCTGTACTGACCTGTGAGCTCTTGCCAGTCTTAGCATCCCCTGACACAATCACGATTTGATTATGAAGCAAACTTTCCATAAAAGTATATTTCTCTTTCCATATTGGAAGCTCTTCTCTTTCTTTCATGAGTTTATAGTAACGGGAAGAGTAAGGCAAGCCATCGAAAGGATTAAGCTCTAAATCATCTCCGCATACCAATATTTCCTCTTCATCACCATCGCTGCAGTCAAGTAATTCTGAAAAGCAGTGGATCTCTGGAGAAAAAGTTAAAAACTCCATTTTGCTTATGTATATTATTCCCAGCAAAAAGCCATTAGTAATGGAAGGAGTCCTTTGTGTACTGATTGATCATTCAGGCCCCTTAAACCTCTGGAAATCCATTTTTGCTTGCTTCAGGATTTGAATTTCCCAGCTCTTCAGTTTAAAAAGTTCAGTCTTGGGGTCCGGCTGCCTTCTTTGTGGTCTGTCACACTTCAGGTGCTTTAAAAACCTGAAGAAGCCTCGAGAATATATACTTAAAAAGTCATCCAAACTCTTCAAAACAGTGGTGGTTAAACCAAAAAATGTTAAACAGAAGCTGAGCGGCTTTTGCACTTTGGTAGCAGGTTAAAGCCAGCCCATGAGCACTCGGCCAGGCTGGAGAATAATTGGGAAAGAGCCTGCGGAGCCTGACCTTTATCGCTGCCGGCTGCTGTGAATAGGAGGTTACAGGGCAAGTATTGTGATTTTAGCCATGGTCATGCGGCTGGCTAATCCCGCCACAATGGGGTCCACCCCTGGGTGCAGCAAAAACAGCCCAGGGACTGTGAGTGTGCGGTTAATGGGAGGTGTCTGCTGCATCAAAGTGCCCTTCAGTGGCTTTATTTTGTGTTATTTGCAGTGTTTTAGAAAGTCAGAGTAGTAGAGAGTCTTTTTATATACTCTATGTATTAACTCTGTTTGGAAATCTTGCGAGGCTTTAACAGCTTTTGCCGCAATTAAGGTCTAAAATATACTTGGTACATTAAAATAAGCAGAGAGATGCCAGCTGTAAGCCTCTAAGGGCACCAGAAGTGGCCTTGAAAGATGGAGGAAGAAAAAATTATTGATGTAAAGTGACTCCAACTCTTAGGACTCAAAAGTAGCAAAATAGAGTTTCCTAATCTTGACTGATCTGTACTGTAATGCAAACACTAAATAACATTTTTTATTTTAGTTCCAGAGGCAAGTGTCTCGTTGAACAATGGTGCTGATAAAGTCTTGATGAACAGACTATGAGCACAATGCTTCTATGCTTTTCCTATATTAAGCTTTTTCTGCGCTAAGGAATATAATAAAAGTTATTGCTGCCTCTTACAAATTTTTCTTGTTTTGTAGCTTTGGACCATATTGGCTACAACGTTATTAGTGCATTTTCTGGTGACAGCAGCATAGAAAACCAACAGAGAGAAGTAGGGGAAAATCCTTTGTTCAGCAGCCTGAATATCTCAGTCGAAATGAGATCAGTCTAATTATATCCTCTCACAACACAGGCTCAACGTTGGCACTCGGAGGGGCTGGCAGCAAACACCGACAGATTTCCCAGTCTGAGGGCCAAAACCAAACGTCATCTTCTGGAGGAGCATCTCCAGCAGAGGACCAGGCGACTCCGAGGACCAGGTGACTGCTCTGGCATTACAGTATTGTAAAATACAATATTTGGCATTGGTATTGTAAAATATGCTTTGGACCAACCACCCGTGAGGATGCACCTGATCCCTGTGAAGATGACAGGATGACATATTTGACTTTTTACAAGGGCAGGTAGCGATAGAACGAGGGCGAATGGTTTTAAACTGGAAGAGGGGAGATTTAGACTGGATATTAGGAGGAAATTCTCCCCAGTGATGGTGGTGAGGCCCTGGCCCAGGTTGCCCAGAGAAGCTGTGGGTGCCCCCTCCCTGGCAGTGCCCAAGGCCAGGTTGGACGGGGCTTGGAGCAGCCTGGGCTGGTGGAGGTGTCCCTGTCCATGGGGGTTGGACTGGGGGGGACTTTAACCCTTCAACACAAACCATGCTGTGATTGTATATCATGGTATCTTTTTAGGATGATAACCTTCCAGTTTTCATGCTCAGTGACACTGAATTTGGTCACATTCAGCTGAGATTGGAAAGCCCTTTTCCTGTGACCTTGATGGATCCCTCAATGCCTAATGGTTTATCTGATTTTGCTTTACATCCTTGCCTATTTATTGTTGCAAGCTGACTACTGTTTAGATCTCTGCCTCTCTCAAATGTGGTTGAAATCACTCAGGAAAGCATAAATTTGACAAGGGGACAGAAAGTGCAGTCCTACAGAGGATATTTGTTGTTAAATTCAGCATAAGATGACATAAAGCAAACAGGTAAATTGCTATTGTCCTGGGTTTTACTTGGTTTTCAATGCTTGGCCACAGCAGCAGTGTGTGCTCTCTGCTTTCCTCTATTGCAGTATAGTTTGTCTTCAAAACATGAAGAATGGAGCAAGATTTTCTGAACAAATTGGAATGGTCCACCATTTTTTTCCCCCTTTTTGGTACCTGTAATGTAAGAGAGCATATTTAAATGATACCAAATCATGAAAAATGTTTGTTATTTGAAAACCAAATATTATGAAACTAATATTCCTTTCATTATAATGAAAGCTTTAACAGAACAGTTGTCCTTGGCTTTGGCTTTGCTCTTTAGCAAGATCTCTTCTTCCCTTTGGAGTGGTGCACCCTTTTCTGATAAGGCTTCTTGATCATCTCTTCTGATTGCTGTCATTACAGCAGGCCCTTAAGGATTTACAAGATATACTTTTTAACATAATACAGAAGGATTTAATTAATTCCAATAAGTAACAGAAACACTCGCTGCAGATGAGGGCTTTCAGTAAATGAGGGTATAAGCTGCTTTTAAAGATATCATTGAGAACTTGGCTACTGATTTAAATTATATGTTGTTCTGCAAGTGCTGATGATAATGTGCAGTAGGAAAGCAGTAAATACCACATAACATATTCTATGTCTTTAATAAAGCCGTCTTAATATATAGGTACTCTTTGCAGCTTTGCTATTAAACCTTTCAGAGGAGGAGGATTTTCTGTGTGTAGTTCATGCAGAATTTGGATTTATCACCTCAATGGTATTACAAAGTTCTTTCTTATCTGTTCCATTTTTCTTCCCACATTTTGGCAGCAATGGTTTGCAATAGCAGTGGGAATTTAAGGGTGTCACTTCTTTTTTCCCCAATAATGTTGTTTAAATAGAGGGTTTCAGATTAAATTTACTTCATAATGAAGCAAATGAAGCCTGTGAAATATGAATGCAAAATTTATCAGATTTTTTAAAAGCAAAATTATAGTTTGTTCTTGTTAGATGAGAACCAGCAGATGCTGTCAAGAACAGTTCCTCTTGCCATCCTATTTCCCAGCACAAAATCTTTTGATGCCAAATCCCTCCAGCACTCATGCTATGTCCACCGGGACCTGGAACTGCATCTTTGCAGCTGAAAGTGAAGAGGCTGTTCCCAACCTTGAATTACATTTGTCCTGAAGGCTTTGCTAATTTTCCCTTTTAACATAAATAAAGATGTATGCGGGTTACATATTTCTTTTTGTGCCTGCTGCAATGCCCAATTGCTCCCCTGCACTGTAGATGGGAGCTGTCATCTGTTTGACCTCTTTGTTTTTTCTTAATGAGACCAAACGAGGGTTATGAGGAGCCACTGCAGTTCAGAAGAGAGATGGCCTCCAAAAGTAGGCATCTTCCTGTTTTACCTACCCAAAGGTTACAGGCATGGGGAGGAGTGGCTGGAAAGGACCTGGGGGTGTTGGTTGACAGTGACTGAACATGAGCCAGCAAAGTGCCCAGGTGGCCAAGAAGGCCAACAGCATCCTGGCTTGTATCAGCCATGGTGTGGCCAGCAGGGGTAGGGCAGTGATTTTGCCCTTATACTCAGCACTGGTGAGGCTGCACCTCGA